GTAAGCAGGTGCTGAGGGATCAGGAGAAGAACAGGTTTCATTGATCTCAGATGATTCCAGACTTTCTCTGCAATCTATGGATGAGCACACCTGCCCTCTTGTTTCAGTGGAAATTGCAGACACAGATAGGGAATCTATTTCCACATTATCAATGGTAGATTTAGATACTGAAGAAGATGCACCATAAGTGTCCTTCAAGTCTGGAAACTCTGATGTGTTCGCCACTTGAGTTGAGCACAAATTCAGCAGCTCAAATGAAGATCCAACTGTGGATGCAGGTGTGGTGCTAATTTCCCTACTTAGAGGAGAGATGGAGGTTAATCTGAGCTCTGGTGTGACACTTGGTATAGGTAGGATATTAATATCTCTGTTTGCAGGTGAAGTAGACATTTGCTGAATAGGACAGCAGTCTGTTGAAGAAGTGTTTGACAGTTCTGATGCAGAGTCACTGATAATCATCCCTTGTACAAGTAGAACGTTTTCCTCCTCTGGACTTTGATAGTTCATATTTCCATTGCTCTCAGAAGACACCACATTATTTTGTTCAATTGGAGATTCTGCCAATGGTTCACAGTCAGTAGACTCAAATATAGGTATGCTGTCTTGTTCATCTAAAAATGGGCTTGTACTTGTATGTTGAGGTTTTGTAATACATTCTTCTTGCTCAAAAGTTGCAGGTTCTTTCTCCTTCGAAGGGCAAGATGTTGGATTAGAAATATCCTTTTCTGGAATAATTTGATTTATAGCTGGTGTTGAATCCATGGCGTGTGGTTCAGAAGCATTTGTACATTTCTTTTCATTCCCTGAGGCAGCGCTCACTGACACTTGAGGCTCTTTCCAAATGTTCCCAGTATGTGAAAGGTCGGTTGCAGGTGTGTAATCAAGTGGGTTAAGTCCATTTTTAGAATCAGATAAGATGTTTGATTCATCTGAATGTGGATGTGATTCCCTGGTCTGCAGTGTGGAAAAATCCAGGAAATTTTTTGGAGAGGGTGTGTTGTAAGTGACTTCAATGTTCTCGCTTAAGTCAGATCCATTGGCAGTGTGATAAGATCCTGAAGAGTCATTGGCATCATCTGCAGGAAAAGGCTGATCCATTTCTCTTCTGACAAATGTCACAGAGGCTGGGCTACTGGAAAGTGACGGCGAGTCGCCGTCATCCCCAAAAATGTCACAAAGGCAGGTTGTTTCAGATATAGCATTATGGTTGGGGATTGAAGTGATGTCAAAAATCTCCACACGATTTGGCCCTTCGCGATTCTGCAGGTTGAACGTTTGTGGAGCACTGCGAAGGAAAGAGTAGCTGTCTCCCTCTAGAACCCAGCGCTCCATTTCTTCACTTCAGATAGCACAAGCATTGGGTTGTCACACTTGAGCCATTTATAAATGCCTGAACTGGTCATTCAGCAGTTGTTGAATGTTTTCAGACCTGAAACATCAAAAGGAACAGTTACTGTAAAGAGAATATAATTCTCATGACAATGTTTTCTATTAGCTTTATATACCAAGTTCATCTTCAGAGAGCAAATTAAAGTTACTTTGCACATACAAAAGTCTGCTTAATAATAGTAAACACAGTATTACTTACCAGATTACAGGATTACTCTTATAACTACTCACAATCATACCTCATGCAAACTGATGCAAAAATATATACAGAAACTTTGTAAGGTGAAACATGTTACAACATACAGTACATGCAGATATCATGCATTCACTTGCCTTTTTCTGATGTTTTCTGTCCATATGGCGAGTTTGAATGGAACAGCCCCTCCAGAGAACATCTACAGGGGACAGTTATGCACTGTACCATGAGCAGAGAATGAGGCTCCAACAGGGGGATCCAGATTTCCGAGTGCCAAACTGACACTTCATCGTTACAGGCCACTCAGTGCACAGATATGTCCAGCCCCTCAAGCTAAGCCCAATAAAATTGCTACGACTCCTGTCCCGTTAGCCCTGTCTGAGCTCACGGAGCCTGCCTTTTTCAAACCTTAAATGACACCATTTTTTTTTAAAGAGACACAAGCATGCACAGAAAATGGAAACGAACCTGACCAGAAGCTTTTTTTAATCATGCTTGGACATAGGTGCATGTCTCGGCCAAGCTTAATAGGGTGTTACAGCTAGGAGCAGGTGCTGTGATGGAATAGACAGAGTCTGTGAAAGGAATCTGATACACTAGGCCAAGACAGTCATAGAGGCTCACTAATTTTAGACCTCTTCTATTAGGGGAAACTTTGCTTTGAGAGGCTGCCTAGAGACACACAGAGGACATAAAATGGAAATTTCACAAAGTATACATCAACTGAACTTTCTGTAGTATTAGATTGCAACATTCAGCTCTTAAAAACTCTTCCTTACATTTACATCTATTTGTTTAGCAGTCACTTTCATCTAAAATGCCTTATAAAATTGAAATGCAGCATAAATTAGGGATGCACCGATATGAAAATTTTGGCCGATACCGATAATTCTTTATATTTGAAAGCCGATAACCGATATTTCGGCTGATAAACTTAAGTCCAAATTTGTATCTAATTTTGAGAGCCTAATTACAAAAACAAAAGTCTCACAATTAAATCCACGTCCAAAGCACACAATTATAATGATGTTCTCATTATAGTGTTGTATAGCCGATATGACAGATTTGCGTTGCTCATGTTTTTCAATTTTTGAAGAGATTTCAATCATATTTCAAGAAGTTCAAAAATATAAACAGTGCTCAACAAGTGCCTAAGCTGAAGGGAATAATACATTATTTATCGGTTTTAAAATATCGGCCACATTTTCTTACCAGCCCGATAAAGATAACATTTAAAATGAACATATATCGGCCGATACCGATATGCTGGCCGATATATCATGCATCCCTAGCATAAATAATTGCTTTGAGCTTAAAAATGCTGTAAAATAAAAAAAAATGCATAAAACATCAGTGACCACTTGAACTTATGACATTAGCTATCTTCTCCTTTCCACTTTTTTGCCTATGTTTCAGAGCATCAAAGTATATTTGTTTCATGTGGTGACAAACTAGTCCACCGCCTTATAGAGAAAGAATGCTGAGGACTTCAGCAATGCAGGGATTTAGTGTTCACACAACTACTGATAGTAAGCCAAAAGCACAGCAGCTTGACAGTACCAAGAATAGGTCTTTGATCAGCTGATGGACAGTCAAAACACAATTCTCAATGACCATAAATTAAAGCTAGAGACTTGCATCTCATGAAGCCAACATACATTCAATATCTTTGACTGAATGGTTGTGAGCTTTTAAAAAACTTGGTTAGAATATAAATAGTTTTCTAAGCAGCAATTTCTAGTAGTTGTGTCTGAAAAGTCAACTGAAAGCCATCAGCATGACTCACAGAAAACTAGTTATTTTAATAAGACAACACAAAAGCATTTAATAAAAAAAACAACATATTTGCCTGTTATTGCTCTCTGTCTAGTGCAATGTACATAAATATGCTTGCAGAAATCCCCCTGCAGTAACATGACACATCTCTATCTTGAGGTCAGTGTATTTAGATATTCTATTTTTTGACAAATATGCAGTGGGGGGAAACTGCCCCACAAATAAAACAGGCTTAGGATGTCATAGACAAAATGTATGCAAAACATCACACAACCTATCAGATATGCTGCTGACTTCATAATATTTTAAAGATACAGTATGTAGTCCAGGAAATTCTAAAGCTTGAATTTTGTCCATGTTTGGGGATTACAAGACAGGCTGTGTACCTAAAAAGCAAAAAAAAAAAAAAAAAAACGTAATAAATAGCGTATTTCAATGAATGAATTAACACTAACACAATTCCTTTAATTGTTCGTTTCCTGCATGAACATCATGACTCAATCTAACAGAGCATATTCACTAACCATTGTTCAATTGCACAGCAGTTTAAATGAGGTTAAACGTACATACAATATGCAGGATTTTTGCAGTAAAATATCCAAAAAAAAACACTAGGACAATGTTATATATTTTATTTAGTTGATTACTTTCAATATCCCAAATGTTTTCAACTATTTGTAAATCGTGAGAAAATTGAGATTTTAACCAGGAAAACGGGGCGTATGAGCAGGGGTGAGGAGTCGCCAGTCAATGACGTCATATCCGCGTTACGCCCGGTTTCCAGCAGGTTTGACCTTGTACTGCTATAGTAACCATGACGACAGACGTTGACAACCGGGTTATGCCTAGCAGGAGGATGCTCACGCTGTTGTTGTTTTGTTCAAACATTATAGACCATGGCACGCAGACTTTGAAACAAAAAGAGGACTAAAACGACGATCAACATCTTGCGAGATGCCGAGAGCTCCACGTCCGCGACTAACTTCGACTTAGAGACGCGAGTGTTGCAGGTTACTTTAACAGGTGAGCAAATGTTGAGCATGGTGAGCAAACTAATCAATGTTATTTAGTTCAACATGAAGAAAAGTTAGAATATGATCTGTATGTTATTCTATAATGTTAGTCTCATACAGCCAACAAACAACGCAACTAACATTCAACAATCTCAAATGCTGTTTAGTGTGATAGTGTAACTGTTAGAGCAAGTGAAACAGCGCTGCGTTACCTCAAGTTTCATTTGTCTAATAGACTGACAAGTAATTCAGCGTGTAGTTCGGTAGAATTAAATGTCCTTATTCCTTTATATCTGCGGGACTCACGTTGCGTGTAGCGCTGCTATACGTCTAGCAATCGCGCCCTGCTTCACACTACAATCATGTTAAAAACATCACTGTATTCGCTCATCCATAAAAGATCCATCAGCTTGACAACAAGATCCATAATTCCGCTTAATGCAGAATATACGTCATCAATATACGCCTTTGTTATTGTAAGAGGTTAGCGCCCCCTGGTGGCGCCCCCTTTAAAGTCACAATTAAAAAGGCCAACATGTACATGTCTTCCCATGAATCCTCACCAAAGTCATCTGCGGGTGTTCCAGTCTTATTTCTCAACCCTGATAATAAATAATGTAGCCTGATTGTGCAAAAAAACAAACATTTTGTTGTTTTTATTTAGATAGGTCGACTAAACGTCTCCAATTTTTGGTTTTATAGTCAGAAAGAGATCTTCTCCACAGCTAATGTAGTTCAATTTCACAAGCTGTAAGAAAAAAACACGGCTCTTTAAAATCGAATTATCACCAATATGCACTGTAAAATAAGAAATGCATATAATGTAAGCTACATTATTATTTATTTACAGTACAATGAAAGAAAATGAATCTCTAGGAGTTAAATAACTTTATGATATGGCTGTGAAATTCACTCACGTGAGGGTTTAAGACTTTGTACTCGAGAGAAATAGCGTGGTGCTAAAAACCCAGCAGCATCTCCGGTGGTCAACAACACACCGTTCTCGGACCAGAAGAACTCAATCCCATCTGAAGACCAACCAGAGGGAAGAGTGATCATTAGGACTTCTGCACTATAATTCTTCAATGTATATTATCTTTATACTAGTTTTAAAAATGATTTCTTAATACCTGCCATAGCTTTGGCAACATCAATATACACAGCCAAATCACAACTCTGTCTCATACCTATAAACAGACAAGAGGTCACTGAACTGTAAATGATCCATATAAGGTGAATTGCATGCATCTGTACACACATATTGGTCTGGAGTGTTTTCTGCTATCCTAATCTGTTGTGCATGCCTAATACACGCACACACACTCACATGAAAAACAGATCTCTAGAAAAGAATCTATTGTGCACTGCATGTCACTCACCACTGATGACTCCGCCCTCTCCAGGTAGCCCAGGTGCCAGGTGTATGTGAGTTCTGTTCATCCTGCTGAGGCCCTGACTGCGTATAGAGGGCCAGTGTGTCATGTATGAGCCATGAACAGCTTCTTTTGGATAGTCCGGATCATCAAGGGCAACCTTTCTCAACTCCAGATCTGTAACCTTGAAGAGACACATTCTAGTATAAGTTCAATGAATACATATATCGCACAATTTGCATCATGTTTTTTAAATTTAAAGAATCTGTAAGATTTACATTACATTTATTTATTTATTTTTGTGTATAAACTAGTATATCACAAATTATATATACTATGTATATATATGAAGAGTTCAGATGCAAAAGCCTCTAAGTGCCATTTGAAATTTTCTTCTAAAATGATCATTTTTATCAAACTTGTATATTTAAGTTCAGTGATTTCACTTAAATGGCAATGATAATTACCTATTAATTGTCATTTAAGTGAAATTACTGAACTTAAATATACAAGTTTGATAAAAATCATCATTAAAGAAGAAAATTTCAAATGGCACTTAGAGGCTTTTGCATCTGAACTCTTCATATGCTCATTAAACCTATATATATCTTACATTAAGACTGTATAATTTACGTGACTTCTGATTCTGAACTACACTGACTTGCACTGAATGACCCTGATTGGCTCGTATCACAAGACGACCGTCCTCCGTGTGGTTGCAAAGCTTGAATCGCTGTTTGTCATTGGTGGCCACCACTCGCTTCACATCCTCCAAAGAAAATGAGCGGAACTGCTGATGAGCGAGAAGTTCCTCCACAAACACAAAGCCATCTGCGAACAAGGTCACATAAGAATTACAGACAGACAACAGGGATGAGAGAGAAAAAACTGAATCCATTCCAAAACGTGTGCTAAGTGAATGACTAATTTGCTATTAACAGGAATCATCCTCAACAAGATCATTCCACACAAACAATACCTAAATGACAATTTTGTGAGCAGTGTTGGAGTGTTATGATTATGAATCGTACAGTTTGTGGATATCACTTCTCACCCGAGTTCATCTCAAGACCCATCTTAGTGGCACCATGGCGTAATACATAAGTTAGAGATTTAGACAGGCGCACATCTCTGCTCTGAAATGCACACAAAACAAAAATATAACTTATTACCGTGCACAGACCCTTTCAAAAATTTACCACAGGAACAACAGGGCAGTTGACACAAAATATGGTCATTACTCTTCACACTGAGATGTGACCTGCTTTAACCATATATTGTTGTGTGTGTACTGTAGGCTACATACATAAATAATTGTTATGAAAGTAGCTTGAATTACCTCATATTAATACATTATACATATTATTATACATAATAACACCAAATATTGTTTTTTGATTAAGATATAAGATTTAACAAAATTATGGTAAAATTGTGATAACCAATGTAAATATTAGTGTGACAGTCTATTGAGAGGACCACGTGGATTATACATAATAAATACATTATATGAATTGAATTATACGATCGTTTCTCTTCCCACCTCTTCATTTCGGTTTCCTCGCCCTCTTCTTCCTCTTCCTCGAGGTTGACAGTCCATGTCACAATTGTTAATAGTATAATTCACAAACACAGCAATCGGATTTATGGGCTACAACTGCAGTTAAATCTGTTTCGTATAATTCTTCTTTGATTATTTACCTACACAAATACTGTATATTGTATATATAACTCATTTCCACTGTTGTTGAACTTCTCTTGTCGATAGTGAAAGCAGCCATTATGAGCCCATTCATGCATGCATTGACCAACAGGGGCAGAAGAATATTATATTTCCTGAGATCCTACGCCGTCTAGCGGGGGTGACTGCACTGATTTATTGTTTTTGATGAGATGTGAATTATCGATAAAACATTATTTAAATATAGATTAAATACAAATATATAGTATTTGTTGGTAACACTATTACCCCCCACCACCTTAAAAATAAATAAATGTTTCCTTTATTTTTAATTACCAATAATTGTCTTCTTTATTATAAATCACAAGCAAATAATTTATTATTATTATTCAGCTTTTAAAGAAACATGCCCCGCCCCGATACAGAGAGGCAGCATCACATCATCATCATCATCATCATCATCATCAGTCTTCCATGTTTGTGCGGGGCAGACTGAACTGACGTGTGGAGCAACAAAACACTGCGGGCTTACGATCTCAAAACAAAAACCTGATTTACGCCGCAGTTTTCTGTTCCGAGAGCTCGACAACATGTCCTTTATCCGCGGTTACCCCGTCATCGCCTGCTGCGTGCTGGTCGCTTTGGTTCTGGGTATGGAAGATGCCCCAGATCGCGCTCCGGGATCCCCGGCCCGTCTGTCGGAGTCAGACCCGGGGGTTATGAAAGCAGTGAAATTTGCCGAGGAACGATATAATATGGGATCCAACGCGATGCATATACGCCGTGTTAGCAAAATCCTGTCGGCCAGCAAACAGGTAAAATTATAAATCATCCGTTGAAATTTCTAATATATACAATGTTATTCATTGTCGGATACAAAACCATACAAGTCTGCATATAATATTACTGTAGAGAGAATATAATAATTGTTTATATTGTTATAATGGTTTGTGTTTCATTTAGTATGTATATTATTTAATTTCGCGATTCCGATACTGGACATGAAGTTTATTATAAGGAGTTATTTTTACCGCATTCATGTGATTAGACGTAAACAAGCGCAGCGCGTGCGCAGAGGCCTCATACATAACAGGGTTGAGTGGATTTAAGCAGCACAACACTGCGCGCCTTTTGCGCAGAAGTTTATAACAGAAGATAAAAAGAAAGCTGCGCACTACGAACATTTAGCCCACTGTTGTATACCACAAATTCTTGGAGTTTGTGATATAATTGTTGTGTGCAACAACGTATTTAGTTAAATTATTATTAAAAAGTTATCATTATCAAGTAAATATATATGTCTTTATTGAAATATGTGACCAATGTATTAAGATTTAGTCAACACTTAAATGCATTAGTTAACATGAACAAAATAATGACCTATAGGCCTACGTATGCATTTTTTTTTATGTTAATCTCAACATTTTTATCATCATAAATTGTATCTGTTAACATTAGTTAATAGCCTACAGTTAACTAACATGAAGTATTAACTAACAATAACAAAAGTTGCTGTAAAAATATATTGCACATTTTTAGTTCATTTTAACAAATCAGAAGTGTTATCAAAATTTCTTTATAGAAGTTTGATATGACAGAGCCATAGCTATTCCCTTGTTCAAAAAGAGTGATTTGTGTCCTTCATTTCTGTTCTGTCTTCCACAGCTGGTGAAAGGTATTCGGTACAGTATTATGGTAGAGATTGGAAGCACCCAGTGTAAGAAATCCCTAGAGCTGAGCGCAGTGGACACCTGCGAATTTTTCCCAGAGCCCCACAAACAGAAGGTGAGCAAACACTAATCCTTAATCCATGTAAAACGTCACTACTCAGAGTCTGCAATGGCTAACTCTAAATAGTCAAAATGCACTGCATGGCCCATTTAAGCTGGGATTTTTTTTGGCTTCATTATTAGCATGCATGCAATTTTGATTTAATGTACAATTCCATTAAGTAGCATAAATCCAGTATGATAACCATATGCTTTTGATCATTTAAATACTAAAACAATTAGCAAAACAGCACCACTTTAGCAGAAGTTGAACTTGCCCATTGTAAATTTACAATGCACATTCTCTCTCCTAAATCACTCCCATTCTCTGTCTCTCCACAGACCGAGGTTTGTTTGTTTGAGGTTTGGGACATTCCCTGGGAAAGTAAATCCACCCTGCTAAACAGAAATGCGAGCCTGCGGGTCAGTAGCCTGGGACAGATGGCAGATCTGTCCAAATCATATTCATCACATAATATCCTGCTGTGGTGTAAAACAGACATAGATTCTCGTTATTATGTTTTAGGACAGGATTTAAAGTGATTTTATGATCATACATCCACTTTTAATGGCTTTATACCCAACATGTATTTGTAGTTACCTTGATATTGTGTATGTCTTAGTTTCCAAGGAGCTCAAAAAGGTTGCATCTGTAACCCTAACCCATGGAAAACCCATGAAGGTAATGCAATGTACACTTAAAAAATATGTCATCAAATATTCACAACAGTTAATTAAAACATTTGTGAGCTTTTCATGATGGATTGCTTTGTTTGCTTTTTTCAGGAATCTGTGGAGCTTTTGACCCAGTTTAAAAACTTTATAATTACATACAACCGAACATACAGCTCCAAGAAGGTAAGACACAAATATACAATCCCATTCAAAAGTTAGGGGTCAGTAGGATTTTTTTTTGAAAGAAATTAATTATTTTATTGAGCAAGGATGCATTGAATTATTCAAGAGTGTTATAATATTGCTAAACATTTCTATTTCAAATAAATGCTGTTCTTCCGACTTTCTATTCATCAAAAAATCCTGAAAAATATGTCACGGTTTACACAAAAATATGAAGCAGCACAACTGTTTTCAACATTGGTAATAACAAATATTTCTTGAGCAGCAAATCATCATATTAGAATAATTTATAAAGGATCATGTGACACTGAAGACTGGAGTAATGATGCTGAAAATTCAGCTTTGATCATAAGAATGAATTACATTTCAAAATATATTACAATAGGAAATTATATTAAGTTGTGACAATGTTTCATAATATTAATGTTTTTCTGTATTTTTGATCCCATATGCAGTCTTGGTGTGAAAGAGACTTCTAATATATCTTAACACACCCAGACTGTAGTGTGCTATAGATGTACACCTGTACATTTTACAGTGATATTAAAGTATATTAATGATATTTATATTAATACATATAAATATATATATATATATATTACATTTATATTTATATAACATTTTTATACTATTATGTCAGTTAATGTCTATTTGTATTGCACATACACAATTAAAAGCCCTTGATTAACCACTGATCCACTAAACTTCACAGAGGCAGAGAAGCGTTTGCGCATTTTCCAGGAGAATATGAAAACGGCACAAACACTGCAATCCCTGGAACAGGGGTCAGCTGAGTACGGGGTCACCAAGTTCAGTGACCTCACAGGTATGTATGTTTATGGATTTTTAGATGATCATCAGGAAAATATGGAGAAAATACTAATTAGTGAGGGGTGGCAAATTTTAGAGTGACAAGGCCAAAATCATAATAATATAAAAATGATCATTCCTCATTGCTGTTGTCTCAAAAACACACATGTGCAAGTCCCTCTTTAATGCACTAATCATATCGATGTGTGTAGAGGATGAGTTTAGAATGATGTACCTGAACCCAATGCTGAGTCAGTGGAGTTTGAAGAAGGAGATGAAGCCAGCGACCCCGTCCGGCAAGGCAGCTCCTGATAGCTGGGACTGGAGGGACCACGGGGCGGTCAGTTCTGTGAAGAACCAGGTATGACTGCCAGATTAACTCCCATGCACTGTTTAGAATTAATCAGTAGGTATAATTGAATGAAGCATTGATTTTTAATAGAGCGCTTTTAGATGCAACAGTACACTCAGAATGCTTGACAATAGGATAAGCGGTCATTGAATTAAAGGGATAGTTCACCCCGAAAATAAAACTCTGTCAGTAATTACTCAACCCGTAAGACTTTCGTTTATCTTTGGAACACAAATTAAGATATTTTTGATTAAATCTGAGAGCTGGATCACTCCTCCATACACTGAAAAAAATAATAAAATAATATGCTTTATCTAATCAATAAAATTGTGGCAACATATTACAAGCAATATTATTAAATTGTACAAGTTATAATTAATTAGAATGTTAATTTGATTAACTATTACTCAATTCTAATTTGTTCAATTTAATAAATATTATTGCTTGTAATCTGTTGCCACAATTTTATTGATTAGATAAAGCATATTCATTTTTACAGTGTAGGCTTCTCAAGGGATCGAAACTGGCCGGCTCAAAAGTTATGAAAGACATCGTTAAAATAGTCAGAGTGACTAAAGTGGCTTAACCTTAAGTTTATCAAGCGACGAGAATACTTTTAGTGCGCAAAATAAAAAAAAAAAAATAAAAAAAAAATATATATATATATATATAACGACTTTATTCAACTATTCATTTCCTTCTCTGTTGGCCTTGAGATTTCACACGCATCACACACATGACCAGTATCGGACTATTTTAACAACGTCTTTACTAACTTTTGGGCCGGCCAGTTTCGATCCCTATCCGCCACTTTTTTTTGGAAATAGGCTCATTTTACCACTCCCCCAGAGTTAAACAGTTGGGTTTTACCGTTTTCGAATGTATTCAGCTGATTTTCCGATATTTAGAAGAATATCAGTAACCAGACAGTTTCTGGTCTCATTGACTTCCATAGTATATTTTTTTCCTACTATGGAAGTCAATGAGACCAGAAACTGTCTGGTTACTGATATTCTTCTAAATATCATAAAATCGGCTGAATGGATTTGAAAACGGTAAAACCCAACTGTTTAACTCTGGGGGAGTTGTAAAATGAGCCTATTTGCAAAAAAAAGTGAATTATCCCTTTAAGAAGCCTGTGTAGCAGTGATCCAGCTCTCAGATTTAATCAGAAATATCTTAATTTGTGTTCTGAAGATGAAAGAAAGTCTTACATGGTTGGAACAACATGAGGGTGAGTAATTACTGACAGAAATTTCATTTTTGGGTGAACTAACCCTTTAAGATTAAAATGATGAATGGTGAGTGAATCAGCGAAATATGAATGCTTTGTATGTCTGCAGAGTTAAACTTGAATGAAGAGGTTTATTATAATTGTTTTAATTGACTGTCGGTTGCAGGGCATGTGCGGCTCTTGCTGGGCATTTTCTGTGACTGGAAACATCGAGGGACAGTGGTTCAAGAAAACGGGAGAGCTGCTTTCCCTCTCCGAGCAGGGTAAATATATACTGTACTATACTACCGTTCAAAAAGGAATAGCAAACCTCTCCTCAACAAGCTGCATGATTTGAGGTGTCAATGTCCATATCACAAATGTATGCCTTGCCTTAGCAAACACCATACATAACAGGAGATAAAACAGGGGGAGAGTGTGTTATTCTAAATGTGAGTTTAAATTCTTTTGTTTGCTCTCACCTCTTTACATAACAGAATTAGTGGACTGTGATAGGCTGGACCAGGCATGTGGAGGTGGGCTGCCATCTAATGCGTATGAAGCCATCGAGAAGCTTGGTAAGAAATAACAGAGTGGAGGTCATTCCCTAGAAGGCACATAATCTGTAGGAGTGAACAGGTCCTAAATAAGTGTGCTTTTTCACCTTTAAAGGAGGTCTTGAGACAGAAACAGACTACAGCTACACAGGACACAAGCAGAACTGTAATTTCTCTACAGGGAAGGTGGCCGCCTACATTAATAACTCTGTTGAGCTGCCCAACGATGAAAACGGTGAGTGAGAGAGATGAACATAGAGATGTGTTAATAAACACAGTTAAATTAAAAACATTAAAACAACACTGATGATGGAAATACCTGCACTAGAGGGATTCAAGCAGGAAATTAAACATATCAAATGTGTTTTATCAGAACATTTGGTAAGAAATTTGAGCTCTAAGCTAATCTTAAATGTATATTTACAGTGAAAAAGTACTGTATATTTACAGTGAATTTTCAGCATCATTACTCCTCTCTTCAGTGTCACGTGATCCTTCAGAAATCAGTCTCATATGCTGATTTGCTGCTTAAGAAACATTAGTATTATCAATGTGCTTCTTTTCTGTGTGAAAACCGATATTTTCAGGATTCTTTAATAAACAGTAAATTAAAAAAGAGCAGATTTATTTAAAATAAATCTTTTGTAACATACATTTCACTACTGTCAAGTCAATTGAATGCATCTTTGCTGAATTAAAGTATTAATTTTTTCAACAACAATTTACTGACCCCAAACATTTAAAGTAGTACCAGTCTGTCTTTTAATCTGAAATGTCTTGATTCTTCTCATGTCTTCTAGTCATTGCTGCTTGGCTGGCTGAGAATGGTCCAGTGTCTGCTGCCCTCAATGCTTTTGCTATGCAGGTAACACAAATGAACACTGGAAAATTATACTGTTAGTTTGCATAAATGTGTAATGAAAATACATTGCCCAATAATGTTCTGGACAAGTTTGTTGTACACTTCAGCACACTATACAACAGTAATAATGAGGGATATAATCTATAAGAAAACAGTTTTTTTTAAAAAGCACACATTTCTGGTGCTGATGTAGACTCAAGCGTAGATGTCTGGTACTACAAAAACAAACTGCTGTTTTAGGTGCCCTTTTTAAAGGGGTGGTTGATTATGATTTCACTTTTCTAACTTTAGTTAGTGTGTAATGTTGTTGTTTGACCATAAACAACATCTGCAAAGTTACAACGCTCAAAGTTCAAAGCAAAGGGAGATATTTGATTTTAAATAAATCGTTTTTAAAGGACTACAACAAACGGCTGGTAGGAACTACACAAGCTTCCTCCCGGGTTAGTGACATCACTAACCCTAAAATTTACATAAACCCCACCCCTTGAACTCCCTTGAAGCTCCGCCTAGTATCGGGAGCTGCAGCTCATTTGTATTTAAAGGGACAGACACAAAATGGTGCGTTTTTGCTAACGCTCTAAAAGTGACAATTTAACATGCTATATAAAAACATCTGTGGGGTATTTTGAGCTAAAACTTCACATACACACACTGGGGACATCAGAGATTTATTTTACATCATGAAAAGGGCATTATACCACCCTTTTAAACAATTTTTTTGATGTCTTTAGTTTTATAGAAAGGGAGTGTCTCATCCTCTAAAAATCTTCTGCAACCCCTGGATGATTGATCATGCTGTGCTGCTTGTGGGATACGGACAACGTGAGTATATGATTTAAATGGTTTGTACGGATACAGATCTGAAATTCAGGCGTTTAACGGCAAGGTTTTGCAAATGACCATTTCAAAATACCTTGGATATAATACGCACAACCGGCACATCCGGGAACTTAACTGTCAATTTTGTCCCCGCCCCCTTTTGGGGGGTAACAAACTAGACTCCCCATAGACTTCAATACAAAATAACGGCAAAAACCAACGCCCGTACACAGTCGACAGGCGTAAATAACTTAAGAAATCACTTATATAAAACATGTCAAGTAATTAAATGTCCACCCTGCCAGCCATAGAGCATGAAAGATACATTTTTTTATGCCCGTAATCAACTAGCCCAGGCTACCTGCCAAATTCATAATATACATTAAGTTTTTTTTTACTTTAAAAAACGAAATAAAATCATTCAGGGGCTTACATGGTGACTCGATGAGGTACAATTAAATGTCCGGGTAAGACACCTCTGGCCACTGGGTGGGGTTGTTACCCCAATTTGACGCTGGGAGAATAAAGGAACATGTTTTTAAATTGGCCAAATTAAGTTTGTGTATGTATCTTTCATGCTCTATGGCAGGCAGGGTGGACATTTAATTACTTGACATGTTTTATATAAGTGATTTCTTAAGTTATTTATGCCTGTCGGCTGTGTATTTTGTATTGAAGTCTATACCTTTTGGGTTACCCCCAAAAGTCGGCATGAACCTATTCAGAGACATTCTATGACGCAGCGCCGGTTGTGCGTATACCATTCACAGCTATCTAGAACCAGGCAACAGAGTCGCGTAGTGTTCGAGTGATGCCAGAGTATAATTTTTCTGCTTTTGTGTGCAGGTAATGGCGTTCCATTCTGGGCCATCAAGAACAGCTGGGGAGAGGACTATGGAGAGCAGGTATGAAAAACAAATCGACTGAATGTACAGTATCACACGTGCAAATAAAATCATTTCAGCTTATATCTCAGTCGCACATACCATGTATTAAGAAAATAGCTGAGATCATTATTATATGATACATTTAATGATGCATGGCCTCTGTAGAATTCCATTCTTGACTGATGCTTGAGTAAAAAATTACTGATGTTTACAAAGCGCCCCTATTATGCTTTTTATTTAATATTAACTTTCATGCAGTGTGTAATATAGCTGGTTGTGAATGTAAATGCTCTGCAAAGTTAAGGATTAAAGTGCACGATAAATAAGTTATTTTCTCCCAAAAAAATAATCGATTCTAAACTGCCGAAACAAGTTGTCAGTAATTCCAGTCTTACTTCCTGATCGAACCTACGTAGGTTTGTAAAAAGTTTGCATAATGCAAGCCTATGGTCTTCATTGCCCATGAACCACGTCTACTTTGACCCTCAAACGCTGTAGTTGTACCAGAGACTGGAAGAGCTTGGATCGTGCTGTCGAGATGTCCAACATTTACATTTATTCATTTAGCTGACGCTTTTTTATCCAAAGCGACTTACAGTTGCTATATATGTCAATTAGGGGAGCAACTAGGGGTTAAGTGTCTTGCTCAGGGACACATTGGTGTCTCACAGTGGATTTGAACCTGGGTCTCTCACACCAAAGGCATGTGTCTTATCCACTGCGCCATCACCACCCCAACATGGCATCATGACTTTTGCGTAAACATATACACCACTTTCAAGTCAAGTGGCGTGTTATCTATACGCATTTTGAGCTATCCGCGTGTATGCGTGTATGTCTACGCCGTTAAATGTCCGAGCGAAACGAAGCAAAATTTAGATCTACATCTGGGGAGCGATATTTTTTTCCTAGGATGGTAGGGGAAGACTCATAAATTGTATTAACCATAGTGATGGGTAGGTTTAGGGACGGGGTTGGGGTAGGTCATAGGTTTATATATACAGTAATAACGTTAAGTCAACGACGTTCATAAACACTCTGAAAAGCGATTATGCATGTTGATAGCACGGCAAAAATGGAAATACGAATTGGTGTGTCATACATACGCCATTTCATGAGATCAGACACGTCCGAAAGTTGCTGTTTTCAGAACTACGAAAGCAAATTCACTTTACATGCATTTACAAAGGATGAGGAGAATTAAAACTGGCGGCATCTTTACTGGTCGTATCATTGTGCATCAAAAGCTCCAGAGCAGAAATATAAATACGGCATTTGGTTTCTGACACGCGCTGTAAGCGGTAGACCAATCACAACAGACTGGATCATCTGACCAATTGGAGCAGACTTTCACAAAGGTTGGGTTTAGAGAAACCGAATGGGCTATATGCACGCGTAAGTTCCGCATTTGACGTAAGGATGCTCGTCCATTTCCGGTTGTGTAGATTGAAGCGGAGGAAAACCGGAGAAAACGGGATTATGGCAGAGTCTTCAATATTTACTGTCCTCCCGTCTTTGAAACGAAACGTACATACGTTTAGATGTAATTTTATATATAGTTATGTTTATTTAATATAATTTTAAAAAGAAGCATAAACACAACGAGGGGTGTCTTTAGTATACGTTTCTTTAGTATAACCATGGAGTATAAAATTCAATATAAATTCTCGGTATTGCATTGGACTCTATGATCGGTGGAAGTTATCGAGCATCCTTAATCCTTCACCGGAAATAACGCCGTGCATAGAGCCCATTCTTTTTTAAACCATTTCTAACACTGAGAAAAGAGGTGTTGTTGCAGTGTATATTATGAGAAAATAAAGTTGTGGTTTTTCACTTTAGATGCATGTAAACCTAATATAGGAGATCTCCAGAACAAAATAAAGAACCTTGAAAATAGCATAATAGGGGCACTTTAACATGTCAACTAAGATTGATTTTTAGAAAATTAGGATCTCAAATTGTCATTTTAGATTTGCCATTAGAGAATGACTGTACTTTCTGCCAAAATTATCAACTATTCTTGAAAACATGTGGTCCAGTTCATAATTTGTAATGTCTATTATCACAGAAATATTAAAGTCTTTCCTATACTTCTTTTATAGGGTTACTATTACCTGTACAGAGGATCCAAACTGTGTGGAATCAACAAGATGTGCTCATCTGCAATTGTGAATTAGAAGTGCACACACACACACAAACATTTACAAACAGTAATGAACATGTGATGATCCTTTACAGAGGCTTTTCATCATGTTACCTGTGAACACAATAGTGTAAAACACATTCTGAACATATTTCATCCATATAAGCACATAATTCTCCATAGCTCAAATATGTGAAGTATTTCTCTTGAGGTCATGTGCTTTAGTCACCAGAATAGCTGAATTTAACATACATTACCTCAGATCCTCATGTTCAGTGATGTAATGGACACAGCAAATAACCAAATAGCGAAGGACAAGATAACAGCACTCTGTTTACCATGCTACTGATACAAACATTAGACGTGTTGTGATTTTAGATAATTTAGTTAAATATTTTGCGCTTTACTTTAGTTGTGTTATTCTGTATTTAATTATATATCTTTTAATTCCAAAAGCACTGAATTGAGCTTGTGTCATGTTCTCTTTTAACCCTGCTGAATAGATTAGCAATTAACAATTTTCAACAGTGGATTGTAGACTTCCGAGTGCTTTTCAAAGAATATTTTTAGTCTTGGAAACGAGATTTTGCACACTATGAATTTGCACAGTATATTGTGATCATTCCGTTTATGTAAGCGTGGCTCTTTTGACCTCATTTTCCTCGTTTATGAGCATATTTGGATGCATGGGGAAAAAGTTGCTGATGCTTTTTCCAAACACACACTGAAAGATTTCTTTGAGGTTTTGTGTTAGAAAAGATGAATCTCTCAGCTGTATCTCTAATGCATTATCAAACATGTATTGCTGAATAAACTCCCAAATGTGTCCGTTGTGCTTCTTCAAGCTGTCATAACTGCCATGTTTTTGTAAGTTTAATAATCGAGAAATATCCAGGCTTAATTTTCAGCCATTTAAAACTGCACAAAACACCCATGATGTTTCTTACAACATTAAGTATACCAGAGTTAAAAGTGGAACTTGAATTGTTGCACATTTTTTGAGTCTTAGATGATTACAATGAGCATAAAAACAAACAAAGCAGAAAAGAAAATGCAAATCTTAAGGGAAAGATCAAACTTTTTTGCACTGCTTTCCAAAGTCAGACATCTTAATTTGACCGTATACAACCCTGAACCTTGCAGGAATTATTTGATATCACACACGTGTTAGTTGGAATAAGGTCAATGCTTTGGAGATTGTTGAGCGCTCTCTAGTGGTTATTAGTGGTAGAATAAATAAATAAATAATATGTAAAAAAATATATATATATATATGTGTGAATGAACATTATTCTTTACATTTTACATGACACCAAAAAGTTAACATGGCATTGACTTCAACAGAGATTACACAATTATAAACATGTCATGTTATTTTATTGTCTTAAAAAGTTACACAATCCCCAAGGGAGGGATTTAGTACACTAAAACATTTAACAGCACAACTACACAAATGGGGATTTTTATTTTAAATATTATAGACTTTACCAAAAAAAAAAAAAATCCCCCTTGTAGGTTTTTATACTTAGCTTGACAGATATCCATCTCTTAGGCCTCATTTACACCGCATGGTTCAAGTGAGCAAATCCGATTTTTTTTCCTCTCATGTGGCACAGATCGGATATGACCGGTGAACGTGTAACCAGGTAAAAAAAAAAAACGCATGGATTCCGATTTTCTCAGATCGAATTCAGGCCTCACTCATGTGGTTATAAATCGGATATGAATCGGCTACGTGCATTTGCGTGTGCCATGCAAGCAGACAAATCGGATATTCTCAGTAAATGCGAGTCGTACGTCATTAAAAATGTGCGATGGAAGACAAAGGATACACAGTGGAGCAATGGAGGTTTCATATCTTTTGAGTGTTTGGGGGCGAAGAGTGCTGGCAAAAATGCAGGGTTGTTACAGAAATAAATCCGTATTTGAAGACATTTCACGAGATATGGGGAGGCACGGTTTTAAAGGGATACTCCACCGTTTTTTCATATTAAACTATGTTATTCCCTTCCCTTAACTAATCGAGTTGATAAATACCTCAGAGCTTCGTACCTCATACCTCGTCTCAGCGCGTGCACTCAATCGCTCTGGCGCGCGAGACACTTTGACTAGCCCAGTTCATTCAATATGGGCCAAGCAGAGAAGCGACCGAACACCTCCACTTTTTCTCTATTTAAATACAGCTACACGAGTAGTGTAACTCGACCTAGGACGGTGCCACAAAATAAAAAGTTGCGCTTTTCTAAGCGTGTAAAATGGATAACTATATTCTATGGCGGAATACCACAGCAAGTGATTGGGAGCACTTCAACTCGGCGCAGTAATATCATTACTCCTGAAAAGTCCTCTCACTCTCCAGAGAGATGATATTACTGCGCCGAGTCCATAGATATGCGCCGAGTCGAAGCGCCCCCAAGCACTTGCTGTGGTATTAGATGATAGCTCCACTTTACACACTTAGAAAAGCGCAATGTTTTATTACCGTCCTAGGTCGAGTTACACTACTCGTGTAGCTGTATTTAAATAGGGAAAACGTGGAGGTGTTTGGTCGCTTCTCTGCTTGGCCCATATTGAATGAACTGGGCTAGTTAAGTGCTATCAACGTGTCTCGCGCGATTGAGCGCACACACTGAGACGACAGAGGTATGCATCAACTCGTCTTACTTAGTGTAGTGAAGTCGTGTGACGTCAGTACAATTTGGTAGGTGGCCAATTAGTAATTGCCCATTTGGGGTATATAAACCTTTCATTCAGGCATCTTGGGGTGCGTCATGGTTGAAAGCCCGCCTCTTCCGTTGTAAACACCGACTGAGTGTCCTGCTGCGTTGCTGAGGGTTTGTGCGTGTGGGTTGCTGCTTACTCCCAGGTAGGCTTGGTACCATCCCGGGGCGTAGGGGGAAGTTTTTTTTTGTTTCTCTCCCTGATTTGGATTGTGGCAATCTGTTCCAGTATGATGTGCCTTCGGCGCTTCCATCGTTGTGGCATCGCAATTTAATTGATCGGAGCACCAGCTGTTTCAGTCAACGAGCCTGTTAAATGATTCTCTGGTATATGCTGACGTGTAACTGGATCGTACTCTCTGGTAGGTAAACTGGGTTAGTATTTTGTGGCATTATCGGGTGGGTAACTGGTCAATCACTTCATTAGTTATAATCCTCCTTGTTTACTGTTTTGAAGGTTTTCGTGGACTCTAATGTGGGCTAATTAAGTGAGCAGTCGCATTAAACGGTGCGCTCTCCCTCTCCGTCACGCTCTCTCTCTCTTTGAAGCCACGCTGCTGCTTTCTCCACATCGATACGTTTAAGTCAGGCGTGTATGCGGGCCTGAGGATTATTTGCTTTTTTTTTGTTATTAGTTGGCATTTCTTTACTATTGTTTTCTATTTTGATCAGTTTTCAAGTTATGTAAGTTTGAGTGACTGTCTGTCTGGAATAACTGCTGGGTGTGTTCCTGCAGCGGTCATTTGAAATTGTTTCAATTGTTTTTTTATTTTATTTGAATTGTCTGTCTTTAATTCGTTAATCGTATCCATATATTGTTTGTCTTTTTGGGGTGTGTGTAAGTGTTTTTTTTTCTTTTTTTTGTTCTTGCTACGTTAAAGTCAATAAATTGACTTTGAATATTGTTTTTTTTGTTTATTATTTTCAGTTTCTTATGTATTTTCTTTTTCTCTTTTCCTTTAGGAGCTGAGGCCCTCCTGGAGCGGGCTGGTTGTCTGTTTTACAGCAGGTTCTGTTCACTGGGAATGTTATTGCAGTTTCATTATTGCCGTGTCACTATCGTTGGCTATTTGCAGTGAATTGGGTGGGTGTAAGAGTGGTTGCTGTGTTTCTTATGGTGGACCTGCTGTTGGCACACTAGCCTGCTCCTGTGCTGAAGCCTCAGTCTCCGACGTTAAGTCAAGTGTGTTATTAATTTTGTAAAAGTGTATTGAGAATCTGGTGAGCTTATTATAAGCCTTGTGAGGTTTATTGTGAATTTTGTTTTTTTGCTTATTTTCTTGACCGTATTTAAGCCAATCATGACCTTTGAACTACTGTTTTTAAAGCACTGTTGATCAACTTTTAACGTCAATAAAACAAGTTTTGTACGGAAGCCCATGCCTCTTGCCTTTTCTAGGTGGAACGTATTTGTGTGCTATATTTGTGCTTATTTGCTTATTTTCCCCGTTAACCTGGGGTGGCGTAGTCACTAAAATTGAGCCACTTGCTACATGTGGCGTAGTCGGCAGGATTGAGCCACTTGCTACATGTGGCGCAGTCGGCAGGGTCCACAGGATTTTTGGCAGAGGCGTGGGACCGTATAGTAGTTTGTATTGTATGTATGTTTTGTTTTTGTTTTGTTTTTTTGGTCTTTTTTTTCTCTCTTTCTTTTTGTAGGAATAAAGCAGCAGCGTGTGCTCTGGAAACCTTCAGTGACGTTCCTTGAGGTTGAGTATAGTGTATATATATTTATCTATCTATATATATATATATATATATATTTTTTTATAATGGAGGGAGAATTACAGGAACTTAAAGAGCTTGTGGCTCAACTTCGAGCTGATAACGAGAGATTGCGACAGGAGGGAGTGTCTGATCTCCAGGGGGCTAGCATTCCTGTACCCAGCACTTCTGTCACAGGCTCTTCCTCTATACCTTCATCAGTGACTGGTACCAATACTCCAGCAACTGATAGGTTTGTATTTGTGCCCCGAGATAGGAGGTGCCCAAAATTTAGTGGAAGGTCTGGAGTGAGTATTAATGAATGGGTTGAGGAAGCCAAGGCATGCATGAGAACCCGTTATTTATCCCCTGCAGATCAGGCCTTCTTTCTGTTCGATCACTTGGAGGGGGAGGCGCGAGAGGAGATACGATATCGTTCGGACGAGGAACGTGGGGATCCGGAGAAAATTATTAAAGCACTGCGTGAGTTGTATGGATGTTCGTTGTCGTATATTTCCCTGCAAGAAGCTTTCTTCTCTAGGAGGCAGCAGGAGGGGGAAACGCTTTTGGAGTTTTCACTCGCCTTGATGAGCCTCCTGGAGAAGGTAAAGCGACAGTCTCCGCATGCTCTGGTAAATGCTGAAACAGTGCTACGCGACCAATTTGTTGAACACGTTAATGATAGTACTTTGAGACGAGAGCTTAAACAGCTGGTGCGCCGACAACCTAATTCCACTTTGTTAGATGTGCGGAGCGAGGCCCTTCGATGGGAGCGGGAAGGGATGCCAGGCGGTGCAAGGGCCCGAAGTTTATCTGTCCCGTTGGCACATGGGATTCAGTATGGTGTGCGTGGGGATACACCGGTGGGGACCCATAATTCGTTTCAAATGTCCGAATTGGGTGAGTTAAGAGAAATGCTGAAAGTACAGCAAGAGCAATTAAATCTGCTAACACAAAGTTTCGCCCGATTGCAAGGTCCAGACGTGCGTAATCGAGTTCCTCGTAATGGACCTGTAATTTGTAGAAGGTGTCAAAAGCCAGGCCATTTTGCCCGAGAGTGCGACGGGGAGCGAGCTCCCCAACGGGCCCCGCATTCCATGTTACCATTCGCTGGGGGTAGGCAGCCTTCCAATTCTGCACAATCGGAAAACTAGTGCCCACCGTGCTGCAGAGCCACAGCTCGGTTGGGGAGTCTAATGGCTCCGCTTTGACAAATGGTTTAGTTCATACGTCTCGTTTAATGTCCTCCTGTCCTCATCTTGTTGTATCTATAGGTGGAGTGCTGTTGCCCTGTTTGGTGGATACCGGCTCCATGGTCTCCACCATTACAGAGAGCTGTTTCCGGCAGCATTTTGAGCCATTGGGTCAGGAACAACTTCGGTCATGTCAATGGTTACAGCTTCGTGCCGCTAATGGTTTG